TCTTGAAGTCATTTTTGTTGTTCGAAAATCTGTTTTCGTTTTCTTTTGCACCCCGTATAGCACCAAATTGACGTACTGTATCTCTGAATTACTAGGTGATTTGTGTGAAATACTGTACTTTTCGAAAAAAATACGTTTTGATTTTTTGAAAATAAATTCATTAGTCTAATACAGTAAAAATTAATTTTACCTAAGGTTCTGTACCGCAGTTTACGCATCGACACTACATAAAATTCCATTTTCTAGGTCGAGTCTTATTAAATCGAAAAAATACAAATTATTCATTCCAGAAAAAATAATGTTTTCAATTTTAGTCCGATTTCGGGGTACAAAACTATATTCATTTTTTCTTTACAATGAAAAAATACATCTCGAAGAAAAAAATCGAAACGAAAAGTGCTTAGAAATTTCTGCGCTGTCCTCTGCAAAAAAAAAAAATTCCAAATGACAGTTTGTGGAAAATCAGAAGACGGATGAAATTCCGAAGTTTCTGCAAAAATTAGATTGAACCATGTATTTCTGAAAGAGGTAATTCTTTCTTGGCAAAGCAAAATTTTTCACACAGTGTAAATTTCCAGTTGAAAAACAAACGAAAAATAAACCTACTGACGGTACCGAGATTCGAAGACAGGTCGTCACAAGCAAAACACACAATGGCCGCCTTCATCTTCTCAACTCTCTGCTCCAAAACCCGGTTCTTTTCTTCGCTCGCCATCAAAGCCTTTCTCGCAGAATCTCGTTCTGCACGGGCTTCGCTCAAATCCAACCATAGACCCGGAGACGATTTCAAGTTTTCCACGAGCACAGTGACGTTGTCGACGATGTCGTTGACGGTCGTCAGCGTATTGGTGAGGATTTTCTGTCGCTCGGCTTGAAGGAGTTTCGTTTCGGAGACCTTTTCGATCGGATTGGCGGAAGATGTTGATGATGATGAGGGTGGATGCTGTGTGTTGTTGTTGTTGTTGTTGTTTGTGTTGATGTTGTTGGAGACAACGGTGATTCCGGTGCGACGAAGTCTGCGTAGATCCCGGACTTGACTTGGCTCATTGTCTGCTTGTAATGTCTGATTTGCATTCGGAAATAAATAATACAGTGATCAGTTTTACCCCGGATAAGGGCCATTCTGCCTACTCCTGTGCAAAATGTTTCTCGCGTGATTTCGGACAGTGGACTGCAATAAAAATGGTCGTCTTTTACAAAATACTGTACAAGCTTTTCATTTGAATTGTGGCTCCCAAAATAATCTTAAAATTCGATGAATTATTTTTTCTCAATTGCTTCGAACTTTTTTTATTTTCTGTATGTTCCACGAGCGTTTTTTTTTTCATGTCGAAAATTTATTTAATTATCTGAAATTTCTGGAAAAAAACAAAAGGAATTTAGATGATGATTCTGCGTATATCTTCGCGTTCTTTAGTTGAGACTTTTCGGGTGTCCGGAAAGAGTCATTATTCATATCATACAGCATATCGTAATTATATTATGAAGCCTTTTGTAATAACGCGATGATTACGATAAACTTATCTGAAGGAAGTCTTCCAATTATGACGCCCAATACTTCACTCATCGTTCCTCATTTATTGAGAGGCTGATGGGGAAAAAATGTCCCATAAATTGGTAGTTCATGCAAAACAAAATTCAAGTCGCAAACTTACCTTTGAGCAGAAATGTATGGCTTACAGCCAAAAATTTTTTTTTATTCCGCAAACGCAACTCCTTTCTTGTTTCGGGACATTAAATACAAATTTAAAAAACGAGCAACTTTATATTGGTCGGCAATTTTCATGTCACGATTGAAAAAAGCAATTTATATCGGAATAGTATTGTAAAGTGTTTCGCGATAATGAAAAAAATGAAGACAATCCTGCGTTTGTTATTTTTTTCATTATCGCGAAACACTTTAAAATACTATTCCGATATAAATTGCTTTTTTCAATCGTGACATGAAAATTGCCGACCAATATAAAGTTGCTCGTTTTTTAAATTTGTATTTAATGTCCCAAAACAAGAAAGGAGTTGCGTTTGCGGAATAAAAAAAAATTATCTATCGTTTTGTCCGGGAAGCTGTGATTCAAGTGGTGTGTTATAAAAGGGTGAAGGAATTTTTTCGTTGATTTAAAAATCTTTTAAAATCCCAGGAATCCTTTGTTTTTGTCTAGAAATGTTTTTGCACAAATCGAGGTGAGATCAATGTTTCTCAGACCATCGATAGGGTATCGGAAACCGTTGTTTATGTAGCTGAGAGTGAAGTAGAGCCTTCATTGTTGAAAAATAAATGTTTATTTAAATTAATGAAAAAACAAATAAATTAGAATAAAAAATCGGTATTTTCCCTCCCAATTCGAGGCAAGAAAAAAAACCAAGGCGTCCTCGGGGGTGAATTGGACGTGTTATCGAAATTCATAATTTTTCTCGCTGATGTTGATCAATACATGTATTTTAGAATTTCGAAACTCACATTGATGTTTTTAGAGACCTGGTCGAGTTTCTCGAGTAGGGCCTTGACGTCCCTGCAGGCGTGTGATTTCCTCAGGCGGTAATTTTCCTTCTCTAGAATTGCATTTCGTCCCAAGACTGCGTCCAGTGTGTCGGCAATTTCTGATCGTGTTTTGTAAGAGCTGATTGATTTACTGCGCGTCTTGTTCGTCTCGCTCTTATTGGCCTTGTCCTTCCTCACAGAATTGACTTTACAATTAATGGATGTTGGATCCAAGTTTTTCCCGGGTTGATCCTGAAATTGCAGGTGAACCTTGGATAAGTCGAATACCTCACTAAAGTCAAGTTTTTTTTTTTCAAGTCCCTGTCTGAATTCTCTTGTACACTTGTCGCGAATTTTTGGGATGGGTTCGAGGGAAGACGAGTTTGTCAAGGTACAAACTATAGTATTCACCACCCTTTTGGAATTCCTGGAATTTGGGGAAAATCCCTGTGCTCCCTGGAATTCCTCAGGTGGTGCAAACTTACCTCTGAGGCTGGTTTCACTGAAACTCTGTTTTTATACCTTTGTGGCCATCTCGGTACCCAACCAAAAGCCCCCCTGCCTAAAGCCCCCCCCCGGAAAGCCCCCCCTGCCTAAAGCCCCCCTAGGTCAAAAGCCCCCCTGCCAAAATCCCCCCCACCACTTTTTTATAATTGGATGCAAGTTTCATAGAAGTGCTTGTTGGCCCTGAGAAGGGCTATTTGGTTTCATTAGAGTAGATTTTGCAGAAGTCAGCAAGTGATGATGCTTTGACATTATATTCAAAGAATCACTGATGACCACTGCAGGTGATGAATCCCTTTATATACTCAACTTACTAACATATTGGTACTTGGCCTTGTGCTGGGCCTGCTGGTGAAAGGTGCAGCTCACCATCAAGAGTTACCAGATACCTATAATCCCCAATTTTTGAACCTAGGGGGGGCTTTTGACCTAGGGGGGCTTTAGGCAGGGGGGGGGGGGACTTCTGGACTACACCCGCCATCTCTGGCCAACTCCCAGTATCCTTGAAGGATGCTTTTCCTGATGCCTTCTCTCTCATATTTTTGTCAATTCTGAATGTGAATTGCATTCGTGCTGTTTGAAAGATCCTGCAAAATTTTTAAATGTCTGATTCTGTTTAACTTGAAATATACCAAAGTTGAAATAGGGTATAAAACCCTACCAAATCCTTGAGATTTATTGTATTAAAAGTCAGTTTTGCTTAATTCCTAATAGACGCAATGCATTAAAAACCTCCCCAACTCATTGGCTTATCCTCTAGAGTCTAGAACCTTCATAAGTCATATTTGCTCAGGCCTATCCTTTTTTGGAGGAAGAACAAAAAGAAAAAAAGGGACTTTTATGCGTTTTGAAAGGATCTGAAAGACTCAATTGGACCAATAAACCCCTGCCTCAAAATTCAGCATCCTTTCAACTCATATTAGAAGCAATTTAAGGCCCAGAATTTCACCATTTACAATTTAGTGCAATTCTGTTTCCCGCAACAAAAGTGCTTGGTTTCACAGTTAAAAAATCTAAAACTCCAAACATCCCTAAGTCAAAATGTGTTTTGCTGGTCCCTTTAAATTCGGCTTGGAGAGGTTCAACTGCATTCAAAAAATACATATCAAAAGTGATTGGGATTCAGTTATTTTTCGTATTTTGATGATGGAGTGTGTGGAGTGAAAATCATCTGAACTCTATACTGAATCACGATCTCCATTTTTTAAACTTTCATCAGGGTACTTTGTCTTTGGAAGTTGCAGACTTTGCTATACGGAAATAAATACAAGTTAAATTAAATTGAAGATGGAAAAGTTTGCGAAAAATTTCTCTTCAGCAATTTTTTCGATCCCCATTTTTTCTTGAATCTGATTCTGTAATTTCAGGCGCATGTGATCAAACTACACAGTTTAAATTGTTTGATTGCGACGTGACTTCAGGAAAATATTCGGTAGTCTTAGCAAATTTCACGGACACGGTAGTTGATGTTCAGGCAGAATTTGTGTGGTTCAATGTTTGAAGGGAAAATGCGTATTCGGGGAGAAGAATTTTGCAAATCCTTATCTCTTACTAGATGTCAAGAACGATCCAACGGTATCAGAATTTCATTTTTTGGAAAAGTGGGTAGAAATGGACGAATCAGGAGAATAATTTGCGAAGCATTTGTTCAATCAGATGTCAAGCAGATTTTCTTCTTTTTCGTAATCAGAATTTCAGTTTGTGGGAAAAGGGGAAACAAAGGCGAGATTTTGTTTTAAATATAAAAAAAATTAAAATATTTTTTGTTCTAAATATCAAATGTAAAATCGGAAGAAGAATTGGCGAATAATCCGTTCGATCATTAGTGAAAAAGGGTCAGATTTTCTTTCGGAATCGGAATTTTTATTTTTTGGGAAGAGGGAGAAACGAATGCACGATTTTGTTGAATATTTCAAAAAATGGCAAATCGGGAGAAGAAAATTAGCGAATGATTCGTTCTATAATTTGTCAAGAAGGGTCAGAATTTCTTTCAAAATCAAAATATGTTTCTGGGCAAGGAGAAAAACAATTGGGGTACGATTTTATATATTTTTTAAAATACCGTAGGTAGGTTTTCACATACCCCGAAAGTGTCCGACACGAGGACCTGACTCGCGTCGTTGCTGGTCGAACACAAAAGCATATTTTCGGCATTCACGAGATCCTTTCGAATATTTCCAGCAAACCCGTGCTTTCGATTTTTTGCACTCATGGCTCGTCTGTGATGCTTTTCTCCGTGAGCGATTTCCACGACATTCACCAGGCTTTTGAATTTCATCTCGTCTTCGTAATTTCGAGGCAATAATGCCTCGGCGTCAACCGGACACAGGATCGACTCCGTGGACACATTATTGTCTCTGATCGAAAATATTATCCGGGTTTCTTCGCCGTCTCCAACCGGGGGTTGACTGGACATTTCTGTCCCTGGGAAATAGAAAAATAAATAAATCGAAACATCGAGGGAAATACATTTTCGTTCATCTCTCAAAAAATTTTAAAATTGTTGGATGAGTCGGGAAATTTTCTGTGGCGATTAAAATAAGACCTGGGCGAAAATTGTTTGGTTTTAAACAGTGTCTGTCTTTCCCTAATTTCTGTATATTTTTCCTTGGGTATTTCGTAATTTTTTGCCATTTGTATTCGAATATTTTTGAATGCGAAGGAGAGGGGATCACACCGATCCAAATGGAAAAAATTATATTTTGGTCATATTTTTTTGAAATTAGGATATCTTCCTCCGAAAATGAAGAACAACGCATATTTTTTCTTCACAAGGTTTTTGTATTTGTAACTGAACTCCCCTGAAATCTGCTCGATAAGCACATTTTCAAGCTGTTATGCAGACTTTGAATGGTAGAACATTCTGAAATTTTTGGCTCTTGTCCAGGAAGGAACAAAGCTCATGAAATGATGAGATGTGAGAGTATTATTTTGTTAGAGACTTTTTTCATGAGGATTTTTCTGCAGAAAAGGGAAACAGTGGCGTGCTTTCCGCAATTAAAGCCACCTGAAATCTTCTGAATAATTACAGCGTTGTCAAGCTGTTGTGCAGATTGATTCCGCCCGAGCAATCTGAAATTTCTGTTGCTTGACCAAGAAGAAACGAATCTCAGTGGAACATTCATAGATGAGAATATTATTTTTGGCTGAAAAATGTATTTCAAAATTTATTTATCTGAAAAATGTATATAAAAATTTATTCATCTGAAAATTTTATTTCAAAATATTTTTATCTGACAAATTTATTTCAAAATTTATTTATTTATTTATTTATTGTATTACCATCGGTTTTCCTTGCAGAAACGGGAAAATAATATCTGTGCTTTTCGCTGCTGCATAATCATCACCTGAAATCTGCTCAATAATTACAGCATTGTCGTCAAGCTGTTGTGCAGATTCTGCCTCAGCATTCTGAAATTTCTGGCTCTTGACCAGAAACGAACACAGCTCGGTGAAATGTTGTCCTCGTCTTTCGCTCTTCCGCTTTCGGTCGTGTTGAAGGCCCTTTTTATTCTTCGTCTTCCGATCGTCATCATCATCATCATCTTCTGTCGATGATGCCGACGACGTTAGAATTTCATCGCTGTCCAATTCTTCGCCCGTTCTGGGTTTCCTGGATAAATCCCCCGGCTGGGAACACATTTTGGAAGACTTGTCCAGCACGGGTTCCGAGTCTGTGAAGCTGACTTCCATGGTCGTGGCTTGTTTCCCGTGAAAGGTTTTCCGGGCTTGAGGCATCAGCTTGGTGATGATTTCCGGGATTGAAACCCCGGGGTCGGGTTTCGGGGTTCCTCCTGGGTAAGGTTGGGCATCCTTTTCGGGGGTTTTAAGCTGCCGGGAACGGGGATTTCGAATGGGTTTCTGCACGTTGGGGATGAAATAACCAGATTCTTGCTCGAGCACTGCGCAATCTGAAAGCGTCAATTGCCGAAGTTCTGATTTCATTATCTGATGTATCGGAACTTTCAAAGAGAAAAAAAAAAGAAATTTCAAGTTCAGTGAAGGAAAAAAATGAGCCCAAATTGACACTGGTGGGATTCTTCGATTCTCGAGAAGTAAGAGAGGTTATTTGAAAATACGATCGAACCGGCGAAGAACGTCTTTAAAAAATTTGAAATGCTTCCAATTGAAGTTAACATTTCTAAAAGGCTCGTGTTATGATCCCGTAATTTTTTTGACCTTTTGAGAAATCAATTCTCAACCTGGTAAGTAACTTAATAAATTTTATTGGGAATTCTCCGAATTATTGTGCGCATTATGCTTGAATCACATTACAGGTAAATTGTAAAAGTGAAGCGAATTAAATAATCTTCCGATATGAGTATACATTTATAATTTTAGCTGTTACTTACGTTTAAAAGAAGGAGAAGAAGCTTTGTTGGGATGTTACAAATGTTTGAAGTTGTTGGAGATGCGTTACGAATTTTTTTTTCGATCATCATCGACCTTGAAATTTCACACAAAATAGTCAGAAATTTTAAGGAAGGTTTTATTTCCCGGCGTGTCTCGAATTCCTGATTTTGCTTATCACTGTATAATTGTGACGGAAGCACTGCTTAAAACTTTACTTAAATCCATTCTTGTGAGAACCCGACTTTTTTTTAAAGACGTTATACTGTACTTCCGGACGTGGCCGGAAATTGAACGTGAGATCACATCATCCTGAATTGATTATCAAATTTCCTGGATTTTTTTTCAATCTTTCGTAAAGCTTTTTAAAAATATGCTACAATTTGCGAAGACAGGGACGTATTTAAAGTACAGTACCTGAAGATGACACGCTTTCCGTAATCGTATTTTTTTTCTCTTGAACCTGTTGGGCATTTTCTTGAGGTGATTTCAGAGACTTTGGGTCATCCTCGGAATTGCTGAATCTGTCACCAGCATCTCCTCCAAGTTCATCTCGCTGAACTGGGCGATTTTCGCTGCCTAATTGCAATGATGCCATCTTGTCGATTCACGGCTATGATGCATGACCCTTTGCAAGGTTCCACGGTATTTTCTTAGTTTCTATATCAGACATCAATCCGAGTCTTTCGGATAATTTATCGAGAACATTCGAAGAATTTACTTCACGAGGAGAAAAGAGAAATGGGGATACCGTGTATAACTATATATAGTACGGGTAAAAGTAGGCGACGATTGAGGTTAATGAAGGCAATAGACGAAACGAATAAAAAATATATATATATCGTGATTTAAGGTCTGTTGAAGCGAAAAAAGGAAAATAGGGTGATGTTCTGGGGATCGAGATCTTTCATTTCTTGGAAAAATGACCTGACCTTGGCAGATGACCCAGGTAAGTTATTATTCATACATCATGAATAATAATTATTATTATTATTCATACATGTATCCAATTTTTTTAATCCTGGAATCATTTGCTTTGCACTGAATCTTTCATCAATCATATGACCAGTTTTTCTGTGCTACAAAACCATCATCCGTAGGTGTCATTAATTTCTTGTTGTTGCTAGCAAAAACCGTCGAAGAAGTAGAAGAAATTAAACTAAACTGTGTGGAATGGAAACATTTGAAATATTAAAATTGGGATGAAGCCGTAGTAATTTGGTGATTTTTCAGCACTAGGATTCTCACTTGGAGTGAAAACCGAGAAATTTGTCGAATGATTATTTTAAATTATGCAAAAGAAGTCGAAGAAAATCACGTGAAAAAGTCAGAATGGAGTGTACGAATTCACATGCATCAGCCCCTTTTCAGATGGTATGTTCCTCATAATTTTGCAGAATAATTTTTCAGAACTTAAAAGAGCAAAATGAGGTGTCACAACTTATCAATTTTGGAAGTGATATTATTTTCGTATCAGTATTGTATCATAATCGTGCTGTTTTATTGCGCTTTATTTCGGACCGAGAAGCAATGAAAGTCGAATCGGGACAGATTTTATGATTCTGTTTTTTTTTGTCATCGCAATTTTTTTTTTTGGGTCGTCCCAAACTTCCGGAAATTTATCCTCGATTTAAGTTATTCAAAGTCCGAGGTAATCGGCGACTCCGATTCGGAAAATCATGTTGAGGTTTTGTATGGTTGGCCAGTGGAGGGAAATGTCTCGGTCCAAGTCCGTGTGCCAAATTGAAGGGAAAGGCGAAACGATGGCGTGCAATATCTTCACCCCTGTAACGAAAGTGGGTAATTTGTGATTTACTTCTGGCAATAAATATACTGAACTGTACTGAAGTTTGGCGAATTTCAGTTTGGCGAAGAAGAAAGGGTTCACATTTACGCTGGAGGTATTCTTCCAATTTCAAAAAAAGAAAGGTAGGAGATTTGCTCAATTTTTGGGAAGAGAATCTCTTTTTTTTTAAATTGGCAGTACAGTATAATCGAATTAACGAACATTAAAAAAAGATTCGTAATAATTTATTAACAATTTTGGAATTCATTTTCACCGCACATTTCCCCAAAAATTTTTTGTATGATTGGGTCGACTTTTTTTTTTTTTTTGCAGCTAAAAAATGCAAAAATCATAAACGTGGCCTGTAACGTACGAAAATGCGACGTTGTATACGGTACATATTTACTTCAGTATACACAAACTTTTCCTTCGAAGTTTTAAAAATTCGTTTCAGCATTATCCTTGAATCACATTCGGTAACCTGTGAATTATGCATGTAAACTTTGTAAAGTGAATTAAATTCTTCTTTCATTCGAGTATAAGTTGCTAATTTTTGCTGTTCCAGTTCTTAAATTTTTCACAGGAAGCTGGGATTTATGCTCGTCTTACCGTGGATGCCTTTTTAACCTTATTTCGATGCTCAAATATGAAGATACTGTACTTGTCTCATACGAGGGTTTTTGGCACAGGTGGTAACTCGCAATTCGACCCTAGAAAAAGTGCTTTGGCCACTTTTTTTTGCGTTTTGTACTTAATTTTTGAATTTCATGGAGTGTCTCGAGAAACTCAACTCCATGAAATTCAAAAATATAAGTACAAAACGCACATTTAAAAAACTGCATTAAAAACCATAAAAAAGTTAAAAAACACATTACACATTTAAAAAACGCATTACAGATTACAAAAAAACTGCCGATCAAATTGCGGGGCAACGGTCGAATTGCAAGTCAACCTCCCTCTGCAAATTTGACCCTCGAATTGCGAGGCACCACCTGTACTAAAGTACTGTAAATGCTGTAGAAAATAATTGCCTTTGGTATATGGAAAGCTGAATTTTTTTTTTCCACGATCCGAGTTGTTCACATTTCCCACCTTTGTTCATGAACGGCACATGGTCGTCTGCAATGTTGGTCCCATAAGCCGTTTCGGACCGGAAGTACTTGCAGTACTTCCCTTTACCATCGTGGGCCACCAGAAGTCGCTTGTTCCGAAGGTGATCTTGAATCGCCAAAAATTTATCGTAAATGTTTTGCGTCGATTGCATGTAAGAACTGATCTTGGGAAGGCCGAACAGTGATGTCCAGAATTGACGCCCGTCCTTGCGATTATTAATTCCCGCAACTTGACCAGAAAAGGGAACCCATGCTGAGCGTCGGGATGACACGCAATCGAACCCGATATCCGTGCCCAGAAGATCCAGGAGAATCATGGAATCCTGTTTTTGTTCGTGTTTTTTTTTTTTCGACGTATGTTTCAGAGGGGAAAAAAATGAAGGATGTGATTTCATTATAAAATTTGATGCAGTTTTTCGAAATGAATACAGAGGAGGTGTTAATGATGGAATCTAGAATTTAATTTTACAAATACAATGACATCTTGCTATTGATATTATATCGACCTTATAAAAAGAGTTTTTTTTTAAGAAGCATTTTTAATATTTACCTTTTCTCCACATTGTTTTCTCCACATTCATATAGGTTCCCTTTTTGAGTCTTCAAATCAGTTTTGAGAAACGTCGATATTATATCAACATTATGAAGAGAGTTTTTTTAAGAAGCATT